GAGCGTCGTTGCTTTTCCAGAAATTCAAGGGCCAGTGTAGACAGCTCGCAGCTTATTCCGGAAAAGCAGCTGATTTTCTGGAATAAGTGGCCCAGACACAGCCGTAGAGTTGGTATTGGTACAATGATTATCAGAACTGGTGTTTGATGTTAAAAACTGGAAAACTTTCAGAGGAGAATGATTAAAAGACTAAAAAACATGTCTGATAGTTAAAGACTCAAGGAAATTATCAAAAAGAAGGTTAAGGGGTGAATTGATTACCTCTATATGTATAAAGAACAGAAATTTAATAATAGAGGGTTCTTCAATTGAGCAAAATCCAATGGCTGGAAGCTGAAACTTGACAAACTACACTAAAAATAAGAAAGAACATTGTAACAGACAGGGTAAATAATCATTGTAACAATACACCAAGGGGCATGATGGAGTCTGCGCTGGAAATTTTAAAATCAAGATTCAATGTGTCTGTAAAAGATATGCTCTAGCTGAAACAAAAATTAATCAAGAAAAGTGCTATACAGGAGGTCAGACTAGATGATCACACTGGTCCCTTTTAATCATAGGCCACGTGTAGGCTACAGTGAAGACCAATGCTGCAGCAGTCGATCTTCTGGAATTCAATTTAGTGGATCTAGGGTGGTCTGTTGATACCAGAACTCCTACTCCTTGCAAGGAGTAAGGGAAGTTGACGGGAACATTTCTCCTGTTGACCTTCCACTGTGAGGATGGCACTGAAGCTTGGCTTAGTGTATGTTGATGTTTATATGCAGCTGCAATAGCATCCCTTAAGCTAACCTTCGGCTGTAGTGTAGACATGACCTTACACTTTTTGTCTATGTGGATTTAGGCGCCTCTATATAATTCATACATACTTCATTTAGAACACTGGAGAACAAACTACTTTTTAATCATAATCCAGAAGAAATCTAACAGTCATTTTGGTTTTTGACTTGTGACTGACACAGACAGTCTTATGCCATCACTGAGTGCTCTGGTCTAAATCTCACTGTTGGGTGCTGCGCCTCCCCCAGGAAGTCCTGAGCACTTCCTGGAGCACACAGAATGCCACTCTGGCAGTTATTGAAAGGGCCCAGGACCAGTTGCAGTAAGAACAGCAACAGCTGGGAGCTCCAGTCCCTTTGCTATTACTGGGCCCTGGGGCAGTTACCCCTTTTGCTTCCTGTGTGTCCGTCCCGTCCCCCCTCCCTCCCCACTCGCCCTGTTACCAGGCCTGCTCAAAAGATTAAGTAAGTCTTCTTTGATTTTGTATAAATACAGGGTTCTACACTGAAATGCATTTGGAAACAAAGGTAAAAGTAATAGGTCTAAGAGGGTGATTTCTGCAGTGGTGAGAGAAGGAACATTTATTTATACATACATTTTGATTGAACACAGTATTTACAAAAAGTGACAGATTGTCATCTCTGTAGGCTGAGGTACTAATTTAGTCCTGAAAACTATTCCAAACCATTATCTAGAGATACCGTGTCTAGAAGTAAGAAGCTAATTTAGTTTCCATACCCATTTAGGTCCTTGGCTTCTGAGACTACCAATGATTAGCTAATAGTTGAGCTGTTTTTTTGTGATGCATTTGGAAATGAATTAAGAATGTGAATGAATTGCCATTCTGGATTGGACTAATAAATTGACCATAACATTTTATTTCCAGACCCAGCCAGTGCCACCTTTAAAGGAAGGTGCATCATCCCTGTAATGAGCAATGGTACAAACTACTCAGAGGGGAAGTTCTTTCCTAACCCCATTAGTTAGTGGTTGACTTCAGCCTTGAAGCATGAAGGTTTATAACTTCTATAACTTTTGTTATCCTATGTAGATCCTACCCTAGTCTGTGCATATTCTCGTTACACATATAAATGTCTAGCCATTTTATATATGGCACTTAACAACTGTAATATCGTAATGACTTTTCACCACTATCAATCTAGTCTGGGGTTACCCCTTCCCCCATAAAGGCAACCACTACTTTCAGTAGAATAGAAAAGCTCCCTGAAAATCCTCTCCTTGAGACTCTTCTTCATTGATCCATTGAGTGTACAGGGTTTATCTTTGTGGAATCAGCAGCAGGAGGCATCCACAAACATCACATTTTTCCAAAGATCTCTAAGAATTTTGGGAGGAATGGGGGTGGAGTTGATGGTTGTCTATCAGCAGAAGTCCAACGCACTGACGGAAAATAAAGCCAGTAGGCTGCAAAACAAGCATCATGAGAGTACAGACATCAGTGTCACATGATTTTAGATACTTACTTAAAAAGTTCATTTCTCATTATTGCTCGATTTGTTTGAGGGTCAATTGCATAGACCATCAAGTCAGATTTGGAATAATCTTCTTCTGAATAGCCATCTCCAAATCTGCGGGCACCAATGGACTCCACCACAACTGTTGCACCAGGAATCTGATCTTGAACATAGCGTTCCAAAATCCTGAAAATGAAATAAAGCCCGAACTGTAATCTAATGGACAAAAACACTGGCTTTGTAGGCTGCTAACCCTAAAAGCCCTTTTCATAAAATCCTCATACCAACATAATCTGTGAAATGCTCAAATCCTAGGAAAAACAATATTCAAGGAGGTCATTGCACACAGTGTCTTTAAGTCTAGCTCTTTGTATTTATGATATAGTTTGAGTTTTAAATGACTCATGGGAAATTGCAACTGTATTCTACAAATAAAACTGTCAAGCTTTTGTGGAATTATACTGTTTCAGAACTCTTTAGTTCCACCTTTACACTTGAGGGCTAATAAATTCTCTAACACAAAAAAATAATATCCTCAACCCTTTTTAGAGGAGTATATCATCTGGACATACAATATGACATAACACATCAGGTACCAGTACACCTGCAACTCCTAAAGGCTTTTATAATCATAGGTGAGATTGGAGTACTGATCTGACAGGTATACTACTGGAAAATAAAAATTATTTGTAAGCAAATTGCAAAAGTTATACAGAAAGTGATAAAAGGTGACAGAAAGGCAAAGTGATTTATAGACAGTTAAGTTCAAGATATTGGGGCATAATAACAATAAACTACAGCAGATCTACTTCATTTTACTTCCAAAAAAGAAGTAATCAATAAACTTTATATTTACATTTCATTTTGGACAGACAGACAGACAAACAGGAGTATGTATGAAATATTAAATGAAATATCTGCTTGAATATCAAATAAGATTCCTAATAAATTCACTTGAAAATAGAAATTAAGATTTATTGTCCTGTCAATTTTCATGTTTCTTGATGGTGACTATGTCACAGATTTTATTATTTACTGGATCAGACCAAAGGCCCATCTAGCCCAGTATCCAGTCTTCCAACAGTGACCAATACCAGATGCCCCAGAGGAAATGAATGGAACAGGTAATCATCAAATGATCCCTCTCCTGTCATCCATTTCCAGCCCCGATGAGAGAGGCTAGGGACGCATTTCTACCCATTCTGGTTAATAAGTATTAATTGACCTAACTTCCAGGAATTTATCTCGTTCTTTTTTGAACCCTGTTAAAATCATGGTCTTCATAACATCCTCTGGCAAGGAGTTCCACAGATTGACTGTGCACTGGTTGACACATTTCCTTTTGTTTGTGTGTATGTGTTTGTTATTGAATGTCAGGCTTTCTCAGTTGCAAAGCAATTTTTGCAAAATTTCTCACACAAAGCATACTTTCTTACACAATAAGTCCCACGGGCAGTTTTAATAACTGACTTCAGTGGAACTACTTGAATGAGAAAGAATTACTGGATGGGGGCAAGGAAAATTTATTTTGTTATATTTTTGTGAAGTGTTCTATATAGAATTATCAGGTTATGGAAATGCTTGAAATATTTGTTATTGCTCTTAAATACTCCTGAAAAACATATTTATGAAGATTTGTAGCATTTCCCCTGAAAGAAGAAAGAAGCAGAGCTCTCACCTATCCTTGAGTAGAAATACCTAAGGTAACACTATAGGACATAGTAAAAGGAGGAGGGAAAGAACAATCTCTCCACACAATTAAAATAAAATAAAATAAAATAAAATAATGTGAAGATAGCAAATACACATGATGTTGAGATAATGGTGTTTAACGCCTGGAATAAATTTCTTAGAGAGTTTGAGGAATCTGCATCACTGGAGATTTTTAAGAGCAGATTAGATAGTCATCTATCAAGGATAGCCTAGATGGTGCTGGGTCCTGCCATGAGTACAGGGATGGACTTGAAGACTACACAGTTTAAGAAAAACATTCGTTTTTTCCCCTTGTAAGATCTGCTATTTATTGTCCTGGCTCTCTCTAACCATCCTGGTGATACTGTATGGAAATTGTGATCCAGATGAATTTTGAAGCAGGTCTACAAAATGAACAGGCCCCAGTCATCAAGAAGGGATTCATACACATTGGTGAGGGAAACATACATTTGGACTATGAGGGTATGTCTACACTACCATCCTAGTTCGAACTAGGGTGGTAATGTAGGCAACCGGAGTTGCAAATGAAGCCCGGGATTTGAATTTCCCGGCTTCATTTGCATCTCGCCGGGCGCCGCCATTTTTAAATGTCCGCTAGTGCGGACTCCGTGCCATGCGGCTACACGTGGCACGGACTAGGTAGTTCGGACTAGGCTTCCTATTCTGAACTACCGTTACTCCTTGTTAGGAGTAGGAAGCCTAGTCCGAACTACCTAGTCCGTGCCGCGTGTAGCCACGTGGCACGGAGTCCGCACTAGCGGACATTTAAAAATGGCGGCGCCCGGCGAGATGCAAATGAAGCCCAGGAAATTCAAATCCCGGGCTTCATTTGCAACTCCGGTTGCCTACATTACCACCCTAGTTCGAACTAGGGTGGTAGTGTAGACATACCCAGCGTGACTAAAATCCTTCACTTTAAAAACATATTCAGGAAAATATATGGTATGCAAAATGTGTCTGGAAATACAA